TTTATGCAAAAAAAATCTTCCTACATTCTTTTGAGTTTTGCCCCTTTTGAAGATGGTGTGCGTGTGTAGATACCCAACAAGCATTTCAGTAAACGTTTTTAAAAATAACTTAAATTAAGTTTGCTATAATAAGCGTTAAATAAGCATTTTTAATATTAAGCTTATTAAAAGTGTTTTCAAATAAACCTTTAATAAGTTTTGAGAGCGAATGTTTATAAATAACTTAAACTTATAAATGAAATGTAAATGCCAACGACATGAAGTAGTAAATATAAAATTTTTTCAATCGTAAGAGACCATGGTGTAATAATAACAAGGTGTTGTCGGTAACTTAATCTCACTTTTTCGGCAGGTCTATTCCGGTCACGCATTTTAGAGTATTTGAAAAGATACTAATTATTTACTACTTTTAATCCGTTTGTGCATACTATTTCAAATTAAATGTAGAAAAATGTATAATTACAGGCTTATAAGCCTGAATATATGCTTGTATCGTCAGCTTGGACATATATTGTAACTTATAAAAAAGTAAAGGCCGTAAAATAAAGCAATTTCCTATAAGACCGCAAATGATTTCTTAAATAGATTAAAACACATAAATATCGATAATATAAGCGAAATCTTAATTCAACCATACTGCCGCTCTATCTAGTGTATCAGTAGTCCATTTGGCTCGATATTATGACAATGCAGCAAAAGATATTTAATATAAAAATATCGCCTTTCCAACCGATTCGTACGTCTTTTTCCATTGATTACCACGATATCTTTTATATTTTATATTTCGAGGACACAAATTATACAAATCCAGCAATTTTAAATATTAATATCGTTCTGAAAATACCAAGCTCTTTAAAAATCGCGATAAAACGAAATACTAAAATGGAGTATTTTAGATACTATTTCCCAACGAATAGTAGTATAAAAATTAAGATCGGCAGCACTGAAAATAAGCATGCCGATTTTGTCAAAATTACAACAAACACGTCGCTACTGACAGCACCTTTTTATTATTCCACCATGGTAAGAGACGTGTTTACGTTTTTTAAAATATATTATGAAAAGAAAAAATTAAATAAAACCGATGTGGTAAAAAAAAGTCCAATCCAGGACCCGCGCTAATCGGTGGAGCATTCGAGTCTTCAAATGATGAGTTCCCCTTATCCTTTCTTAGTTTAACATTCAATTAAAAATGTATTAAATTTTTTTCAGAAAAGTTCATCCATGAGAATGGCGGCGATGAAGCGGAATATATAGCTGCATCGATGTCGCTTTTCCAATTTGTCAATAACCGCAAGTAATTGAAAGCACGCAACAAGATGTAATAATTAACTTTTTTATGCTTAATTTGTATGTGTTATTCTGAATTTGTATGCTAAAATGTCTATTCCCTATTTATATTTTCGCGACTGTAGATGAGTCCGCCGAAAATTCGCATTTCGTTTAGTTTCTAGTTGTTAAGCATTCTATGTATGGGTTTTTAATGAAATATCTTTAAATAAAGGGTTATAAAAATGTTTATGAAAAGCTTTCTTTTGAAAATGTTTAGTAAGTTTATATTCATACGCTTATAAAAAACTTTTTTTGAAACTTTATTATAAGTTTACTCTTTTACGCTTATAAAAAGCTTTCTTTTGAACATTTATTACAAGTTTATATTTCTACGCTTATAACCAATGTTCCTTTTCGATTATATTACGCTTACTTTCAAGCGATTTATAAACAAAAAAGCAACGTTTTGTAAGCTTAATGTTTATAATTGAAAACTTAAAAAAAAACTTTCTTTAAGTTTATTTTGCTTGTTGGGTACTTAATTCGTACTTCAATTATGTCGCACGTTTAATAATATAACGAAGTATTTCAAAATTTCAATTTTGTGGGAAAACGCAATCAAAGTTTTATCATGTCATACAGTTGGTATACAACAAGCAGTGTTGCCAGAACTTTTTGGACGAACCGGCTAAATTGGCGAATAAAACCGGCTAAAAACGGCTAAAATGTTTCAACTAAATTTCACATGTTTTATTTAAATAAATCATGAGTAAAAAGACTATTTCTTGGAGAGAAGTTACAAATTCGAGCCGGAAAAAATTTTGCCAGCAAGAATTTGCAATTAGGAAAAACATATGATTGTGGCACATGGTTGGAGTTTTTTTCGACGATAATTTGAATACACAAGTTCGTTAAATTTAAAAATTTACAAACTGGAGCGATTTTAAAATGAAAAATTTAAGTTAATACTTGTTTACTTAATTAATTTAGTTAATTCCAATGATTTGAAAGGTAGTCGGCAAAAAAAACTGTATTCTTAATCGGAATGCAATCTCAACCAGACCCCGACAAAGAAATTGAAACGTATGTTGAAGAAAGTCGGACTGACAAGATATATACACGTAGATCCTGTTTTTTGCCCCTCTGAAAGAATTTTAAAAATTCTATACAAATTTCTTTTGTTTGAAATGCAACCGTGGACACTAGCTGGCAAAAAAACTTGCAAATTTGCGTTCGTAAAGAAAATTGCAAGTTTCTCTACATGAGAGAGAATTTGGGAACATTTTTTCTTACTATCTGATATTTTGAGTGATACATAATTCTTGCTGGATTTTCAACGAACAAACCTATTGTCTTCCCCACAAGGCCTTTTCAGACTGCCCGATTCTCAATACACTCAAATAGGAACCAATACACATAAAAAACGCTGCATAAATTTCCCTTCAATTTTAAGGTAGTAAAACAACGACCTTAAGTTAACATCAACCGAGGCCATATGTTGACAAAGATGCAAAATCACAGTTACACAAAAGAACTGGTCAGATTTTTCAGAAATCCCTTCAATTCTGATGTAAAATATGATGCCAAAAGACTGCAGATCTCCCATTTAGATGACCGGACATATGACCGGCTGCTGTCTCGTAGGATTCCCAGAGAGTTTTGCTTTACATAGAAATTTGTGCTCTTTTATTTTCATTTTGACTCACTTCAGTGTTGGTTCCTTTAATTAAAGTTGGCATTCGGTTTTTGGAATTTAAATAAGTTCTCAGCAAAATAGTTTGTTTAAAAAAATACATATGTGTACATAGTGCTTGAAAATATCAATTTTTCCCTTACGTTAAACCTTTGGGAGTGGGCAAAAATGATGTTTTGTAATTTAGGCAGAATTGAATATGCGCTATCTGGGAACACAATATCTACATGTAATATTTATTCTGTTTGTGGGCACTATATCCAAACACAAACGCAAGTGTCTTAACAGTAAAACAATTTCTTATTTTCTAAGTTTGCGAATAAAACTTCACACTTAAAATTAAGACATTTATAACAAACATTTTATGAAGAAAATCCCTTCTTCGGTTAAAACAAAATACGCGAAATCGGCCCAACTTCATACAACCCTGCCTGACATGAAAATTTTCTCCACCATAAGGCTAGTAGCCATTTCTAACAGATTTTGGATCGCTTAGTCAAAAATGGAAACATATATACATATTTGAAATTTAAGAAAACAAGGTAAATAGCAAAGTCGGCTAAAAACGGCTAATTTTTTTCTGCAAAACGGCTAACAAATCGGCTTCCGGCTAAATCGAAATTTCTCCGGCTGTTTGCTATCGCAACCGGCTAAATCTAGCCGGAAAAAGGCTAAAATGGCAACACGGACAACAAGTAATTTTTAGCAAAAAAAACCGACTTCAACTCCCATATAAAAAAAAAAAAAATATATATATATATATATCTCAAGATCCACTGATCGGATCTCAACAAGATTAGTATGGGACCACCTCTGAGTCACTACCTTTCCGATGCAAAAAGAATTATCGAAATCGGTTGACGTGGTCCAAAGTTATGCGGTAACATACATAAAAAAAAATATTCCGACGAACTGATAACCTCCTCCTTTTTTGGAAGTCGGTTAAAAAGACAGATGGAAAGACACATATCTTCGCCATATTTGGGAAGTTTGGTTATCTGTTAGACTGAACATATTCTACTTATCAAGCTTATTAATTGCATATTGAAATCTCCAAAAACGTAAATCTTGACTTTTTGGGGAGTGTTGCTGGAGTGACAGTCCTTGGCCAGATATAAATCTGGGTCGTTCCGGTTACGTAGACCCGACTGTTGTGGGAACGATTAAACGTGCGATGTATGTGTTCTCTGTAATAAAGGGAATGCAAACTTGCCTTTTGAAAACCTGAAAAGCTTTAGCCAAACTTTGCTCAAAGGTTATGATAATTTAACTCCAAGAGGATGCCAATCCACCCCGTCACATCTCTTTTTACAAAAATGAATCCAATAATTTTCTTTTTATTATCTTACGCTTTGCGGCATCGTCTACTCTTTCGTCACGGAGACTGACATTTGAACCACATGAAACACAAAATCTTGTTTACACTTTAACAAAATTTGGTTATACAGCGTGGCGACGAATAACTATTACCCAGGTTTTTAGAGAAATAAAAGGTCCTTTATAGATTTTGCGAAAAAAGTATTTTATTGTTAGTTTTCCACAGATTTTACTTTAGTTGTATTAATTAGTTTTTAAATTTTAATCCTTAGTTAATTTAATCCATATCTTCTGTAACCATGGGCTAATTTTCTTCATTTTGAGTCCCTTATACTCCCCCTTTTGTCTAACATAAGGACTCATACTCAAAAATCGAATAGACTCGGAATTGGTGACTTGGACGGCCATTCATTCGACCAACCTTGTACAGTTTTTTCTTTTTTTGTATTTTTTTTATACAAAGCCTAAGAAAAAATACACCTGAAAAGACTTGCGTGCCAAATGAACTTTTCTCTCAAAATTTAAACTGCTGGCAAATGTAAATAAATATTAAAATTAAAAATCGAATTAATGCAGCTAAAGTAAAATCTGTAGAAAATTAACAATAAAATTCTTTTTCATTTCTCAAAAAAAAAAAAAACGGGGTAACAGTTATTCGTCGCCGCGCTGTAAATAGTCGAGCAGAATAACGGGAAATGTTATAATGAAAAAGCTAAAATTTATCCAAATTATAATATATTTGCACCAAATGGATTTAGTTCTTTTTTGTTGAGGTAAACATTATTACCTGTTTGACATGTCATCGTCTTCTCCTCCCCAACCAAAATAAGAATTCGAAAAGCCGTTTACTAGCTGAAAGTGCTCCCGTGTCATTGCTGATACTCCACCAAAGATAGAGCGATAAGGCAACCTAATGTAATTTTAAGATTAAAAGCAATTATTTTGTGAAAATATGCATGTATGTATATCTCTTAGTGTAATCTATACAAGTACTTGAAGTTTAATGTGTCTATAGAAACAGACATGTGACGCGGTTGTCGCGGACATGTGTATAAGTTTCGGTTATCCAGAGGTAATAAGTCAACATCATGGAAGATGAAACAATCCCAGGGATACATTTTCAAGGCTTCTAAGAAGCCAATATTCATGAGTGCCGCACGATTAAACGCTTTCCCGTTAGTTTGCTCGATAAGAAATATTCGATAAGCGATATGCTGTTTCATTAAAAATGGGTGAATATTTCGAAGAAAAACGGCTAAATGAGCGTAACGATCGCGAAATGGTATCACTATTGCAACGTGATCCTTTGGAATACAGTCATGTGGCTGGAAGTTTCCACCCGGCTTTAATAAAGAAGACAAATCAGCCTCTACAATGTCTAACGACTCAAGTGTGGTATTCGGCGTTATTGGTCCATCGTCTATAAATTAGTTATTTTGTTAATTTTCGTCTGACATTTAATAATTGGAAAGAATCAATGAATGAACTACTTACTTTCATCGTATATTGGATTTTTACATTTTATATTCAAAGAACCCGAGTATTGTCTTTCAATAGGTATCTTTTCACCAAGCAGTAAATCGCTGGTTGATTGGCGACTTTCAATGGAAATGTTCTTCTGGTTTATTGATGAACTATTCCACTGAATCTCGTTATCAGGAAGTGTTGGGTTGTTACCAGAAATAAAAGTTTCATTTGCGCTATGGATTTGGTCGTTTAGAGCATCACTGGAAGTGTTGACCACTTTAGAAAACTTATGCATGTGTCGAATGCTATAGAAGTAGGATATTCGATGTAATAATTTAACGAAATATAGGCGGCATGTGGGTGTTAAGCAAACTTACCTAAGTCTACTAAATGTTGAGTAATTTGCAGTTTTATTATCTATATAGCTCAGGAACGCACTAAATAGCACCCACATCCCGACCAGACATAGCAGCGCCCTCACCCCGTTCGCTTTAGTGAAGAGCGCCATCGCCGCTGGTCATAATCACAATTATGCGATTGTCCAGTTTTTCATTTTTATAAGACACATTTTATTGAAGAATTTTTTAAACGTAAAAATCTCCATTCGAACGTCGAGTGCCCAATAAGTCTACCCCAATTCGGAGATATTACCCGACACTTTTCCAAACCAGTACTTAGAGGTGGGATACTATCGATAGTAATATCGATAATATCGATAGTTGAAAACTGTCCCCACTAACGATAGTTTTTGAAAACTATCGATATCGGTTTTAGCGAAACTTCTCTCTTCTTAACATCTCTTAACATTACATTATTTTTTTTTACCAAGAAAATTAACAATACAGTCGGCATGAGGTTGATAGAATAGGACCCCCTGATTCCAAAAATCCCTCTTTTTTCTAGCAACCCTATAGTCGTATAAACGATGAATAAGATAGCAAAATAACATCAAACTTGGTGCTGCCAGACTGGAATTTTGAATAATAAAAGCGGATTTTTAATTCGGAATTTTCACTTAGTCCAATTCTCCTTTTGCGCTTTAGGATTATAACCCTTACCAAATAGAATTCTCTTTAATTTACAAAGTAATTTATAAATTTTATACATTTATTAATTATTTAATTTTAAAGCAATTTAGCATTTCAATTCAATACCTCTCATGACGATAGTACTATCGATACTATCGATGTTTTCAACTATCGTTTCGAAAACTATCGAGTGGCGGTACTATCTATAGTATCGCAGCTCTACGGTCGGTGTTATGCAGAAATTTTGTTAGGCAAACTGCGTGCAATTGTTGTTGCAGCAAACGCGGAGAAAGCGAGGAGAGAAACTTACTAAGTCAGAGAACGTTTAATACAGAGAAGCTGCAGAGAACGTTTAATACAGAGAAGCTGCAATTACGAATAGCCGTGTGAATTGTCAAACACTACCAAAAACGCTCTAGAAGCTCACCCATGATTCAACCACTACAGGTTGTAGCAATCGTACAAAAACAACATTTACCGTTGGTATGAACTCCTTGTGTCATCACCATCTTTTTTATCTATTCATATTCGTGTGTATATGTATACCCTGCATACCAGGATTTCATAGAATTCTGAAAGGTTTCACAATTTTTTTAAGAATTTTCTTTAAGAAATCGTACAGAAATTTCTTTACTAGTTCTTATCAACCGCCTCATATGTTTTTCTTTACAGATTTCTAAAAGAATCGTAACAAATTTCCGACACTCTTAAAGATTTCGGGAGCATTTGTTTGCAGGGTATATATATACGTATATGTGTATGTGTACGCGGATATGTAAATATAGCTAAACAGACGATAATTTGACACAAGCGTGCTCATAAGAAGAAGCATGGCTTCTATCGCTATCACCTGTAATTGATGCGCCTTGAGCTCACCACTCGAATCGAAAATTGAGAGCGGCAAATTAACAGATCTGAGCGGCAAGTTTACAGAGCTGAGCGGAGATACGAATTTGTTAATTTGTATCAATGTTAAGTACTTTGGTTTGGATTTTCTTTATCGCGGCATTGATTTAATAAAAAAAAAGATTAAAATTCTTAGTTAAATTAATGAAAATTAATTTTCGAAAATATTTGCCAGGGAATGCTTTAACTCCAAAATGTAGATTTTGTATCTATTAAATATGTGAAAGCTATGCAAATATGCAAACTCATTGGTGATTTGCCGTCGGCATTTGGATCGCAAAAATCAAACGTCGCAAAATCGCAAATTAAACGTTCTCTGAAGCGCACAACGAGAAATAGGCAGAATGTTCGAGGAATGACGTAGAATGTTCCACAAAGAGAAACGTCAAGTTGGATGAACACTGCGAACAGCGAGAGAAAGAGAATGAGCGATAAACTTCAGAATGTTCTAGAGTTGCCATAAGTGCCAGCGCAGGTATATATGGGCGCCGCCACAGCGAAGTGAGTTAGTTACGAGTTACAAGTCTGCAAGCTACAAGTAAAGTGAGCAGAGAAGCGAGTTGCGAATAAGCAAGCTATAAGTTTAATTGTGTTAACAGGTTCAGTAAAGCGTTGTAATTGCTTTAACAAGTATTGTAGTGTTTTTACTGTATTAGCAAGTATTGTAAAATTGTTGTTGTACAATAAAGTTAATTGCACTACAATTTGGTCATCGTTAGCATTTATTTAACAATCCAGCGATACGAGCCCGAGTATGTTTGGGAAATCCCACGGTGCAGCGAACAAAGGTGGCGCCGTCAGTGGTACCGCTACTTTGGTTTTGCCGATTTTGACAGTTGTGGTAACTTGTAAATAAACCTTTGTTTACAAATCAGCGAAAGAGAAATTTGAATTATAAGTGAAAAATCAGTTTAAATCGTGTTAATTTGCAATTTGTGAGTGATTTTTGAGTTGAAGACTGCGTAAAAACTAATACAATGAAGTGCTGTGTGTTAAATTGCGACAACCGTCAAGATGCAAGAAGCGTAGATGCAAGTGTAGCGCTGGGACGAATCGCTGCATTTTGTGTACATAGGGCACGGCAAAGCCGTTCCCGAAATGTTTCTCTATTATTATATTAACAGCATTTCCTCACAATGATTTTGTTTCTGCTCCACGCAGCCTCCATTAGCAAGTTAACTAATCAGTCCCGCAGAGATGCTGCTGCTGTTTTCTGCAGCAGCCTTAATTGCAAAGCAATGGAGTGCACTAAATCGTTTTCTGAAGCAGCCTCAATTGCAAAGCAATGGAGGGCACTACAATGTTCACTGTTGATTAGGTGAAAAATGCAATATTTTCGCATTTAGCAAAATTAAAACACGTTTTTCGCAGTAAAGTGAACTGCTTTGGTTGTTTCAACTCGTTCTTCTTTTCACTTTATTCCTTGTTTACTTGTGGTACACAAATGTCAACGCCCAAGACGGCGCAATCTTGTATTCTATCATTCTTGGGGAAATCCCTCAAGGTTTCGAGGATAATCGTAACAATTGGTGTCAGAAGTGGGATTGTTAAATAAATCCCGAAGGATAAACTACTGAAAATGGCGAAAATTCAGGACGTAAAGATTGAGGAACTCAAACAGGAGTTGGAGAAGCGAAATTTAGCAACCTCCGGAAGAAAAGTGGAGTTACTATCACGGCCGCGAGAGGCTATGGAAGCAGAAGGCATCGACGTGGACAAATACGACTTCCAGGGTAAACTCGACGATGCATCCGCAAAGGATGAACAGAAGGATGAGACCGCTTGTTCGTCGAAGGAAGTGCAGCAGACATCCGGGAAGGTTGAAGAACAGCAAAAGTCCCCAAGTTCATCAGCAGCTATGGACATGAACACGTTATTGGCTGCCATGTCACAGATGTCATCACAGATTTCATCCCAGTTGCAAGTGCAGGAAACACGCATATCATCGCAGCTAGATGAAAAGATTACTCAGCTACAAGAGAATTTATTCACAAATAACTCGGAACTCAGAGAGATACAGGATAAAATCGAGAAACGACAAGATAAGATCGAAGCGCTTATTAAGGAAAAACAGGATAAAGTCGAAGCTAAGGTGGATGAGCTTGAAGATCGTCTCCGGGATTTGCAGTTGAATCGTCCAGCTAATCCGACGAACGCTCCCAAGGTAAAGACTCCATCCTTTGATGGCACTATTCCTTTCCAGGTCTTTAAGCTCCAGTTTGAGAAGACAGCTACAGCAAATCGTTGGAGCATGGAGGATAAATCCGCTGCTCTGTTCGTGGCATTAAAAGGACCTGCAGCGGAAATCTTGAAGACAATTCCTGACTGTGAAAGGAAAAATTACGATGCATTAAAGGGTGCAGTGGAAAGACGTTATGGTAGCGAACACAGAAGACAGATTTACCAGATGGAGCTGGAGAATCGCTGCCAGAAATCTAACGAGACTCTACAGGAATTCGCCTCCGAGGTTGAAAGGTTGGCCCATTTGGCAATTGGAGATGCATCTGGTGAGCACCTCGAAAGAGTAAAAATCCAGAGGTTCATCAACGGAATGCGGGACGTGTATACCAAGCGAGAGACGTACGCGAATCCAAAGCCAACATTTGCTGAAACTGTCTCGTATGCTCAGACGCGTGAAACGGCAGCACTCCCAAGTAGACCGGCTTACAAAGCGCATCGCGTGGAAGTAGAAACACCGGACGAGACAAATGAAATGCTGAAGAAGATTATCCAACTGCTGGGCGAGAAAAATAATGGCTCTGGCAAATGTTTTAAATGTGGAAAGCCAGGCCACTTCGCCCGCGATTGCAGTGCAAGTTCCAGTGGGCTCAACAATTCAGCAGGACGCAAACGCAGGGCTAAAGGAGACGAAGCCAACTCCAATCAGTCGTTAAACTGGTTAAGGGCCGTCTCACAAATTGGCCGGAATGCGAGCAACCTCACTATTGGTGGATGTGTGAATGGGCAGGAGAGAGTACTGACAGTGGATACTGGAGCGACACATTCCATTATTCGACCGGATTTGGCCACTTTTTATGTGAAGCCATTACCTGGAGCAAAGCTGCAGACTGCAACTGGTGAATGCACCCAAGTGTTAGGAGAAATACCATGCGAGGTAATAATCGACGGTAGGGCCTCGTACACTAATTTTATAGTGGCAGACATTGTGGATGAAGTCATCATCGGCGTGGATATCTTACTTGGCCAAGGCATGAAGATTGACCTCCAGAGAATGATCCTGACAGATCGTCAGAGGAAAGTGCCACTTAGGGTTGGTTACGACAGCCAGTGCTGCAGCAGACGGTTAGTCTTAGAGGAAGTGTCGAAGATTCCACCAGAAACAGAAGCGATTAGTTGGGCGGAGGTTGGCAGTGATGGAGACGGAGTGGTTTCGTCAGGAGAAGGAAGCGGTTCACCGATACGGAAAAGCGTGACGGTTCCGCCAGCTCAGTGAAGAAGAGGTCGCAACAAGGAAGTGGTCAGGGCGAGCCAGGCAGTGTTTCCGGCAGGAGGAAAGCCACTGAACCACGTTTCAATGGTGATACGCCGGTGGCCGGAAATGGAAGCGGCTGTGGAAGCAGTAGGCGCGCTTTGGAGTCTCCCGAAAAAGGTGGTCGGCAAAGGCGAGCAGTTAAGCCGGAAGCCAAGGTTGAAATTATACATGTCCGGTCAATGAAGTTAGCATCGGCGGAAGAGCGAGATACGAAACGACGGCGGAAGTTTCAGCGTAAGGATCCGGATGTTGCAAGATGTGCTAAAGGCAGTGCAGCACGAAGGCGGAAGTCTGGATGTTATGGACAGATGATGCGGCATAGATCTGGCGAAAAGTGTGCCCATGAGAAGAGACATGGTCTGGTCACCACCAGTGGCCGGCAGGAGCACGACCATGTGAGATGGTGCACCACCGGAGATAAGCTGGAAGCAATGTCCAGTAACGCATCGAGCCGAGAGGAGCTACAGGAAGGTGATTCGGTGTTGTTGCACATGCCGCAGCCGAAGAAAGGCTTCACCTCCGAACAACATCGTAACTGGAAAGGTTCGTATAGGATTGACAAACGGCTGAAGGACGCAGTGCATCGAATCCAGACAATGGGGAGACCGAGGACCAAGATGAAAGTGGTCCACTTGGAAAGACTTGCAGCGGTTGGAGCGGCAAGTGTGTCTGATCGGGACGATCAGACTTAGGTGGAGGGCAGTGTGGCGAATACTGCGGCAACACAAAGCGAACAACGAGAAATAGGCAGAATGTTCGAGGAATGACGTAGTGTTCCACAAAGAGAAACGTCAAGTTGGATGAACACTGCGAACAGCGAGAGAAAGAGAATGAGCGATAAACTTCAGAATATTCTAGAGTTGCCATAAGTGCCAGCGCAGGTATATAAGGGCGCCGCCACAGCGAAGTGAGTTAGTTACGAGTTACAAGTCAGCAAGCTACAAGTAAAGTGAGCAGAGAAGCGAGTTGCGAATAAGCAAGCTATAAGTTTAATTGTGTTAACAAGTTCAGTAAAGCGTTGTAATTGCGTTAACAAATATTATAGTGTTTTTACTGTATTAGCAAGTATTGTAAAATTGTTGTTGTACAATAAAGTTAATTGTACTACAATTTGGTCATCGTTAGCATTTATTTAACAATCCAGCGATACGAGCCCGAGTATATTTGGGAAATCCCTCAAGGTTTCGAGGATAATCGTAACAATATAGTAGTGTTTAATCATGATGCAATAATAGCTCTGATCCAGTACTCCATGAACTTACAGGATTTTACACGAACTTGCTGGAAGTTGCAGGAAAAATGTTCCCGTACTCCAAAATCCTGTAAATGAGAGCGACTTTTGGAGTTGTGTAGAGAAAGGAGTTGCAAGATTTTACCCGAACTTTTTCTTCTGGTAAAATCATGAAAAGTGTCAAGCAATCACTGGTTGATGTTTTTACAGGAAAAAATGGTTTTTTTGTTCCCGTACTTTTTGTTGGTACTCACTTTTTACTCTCACTTCAGAGAGTAATTTTGCTGTTTGACAGTTTTACAGGATTTTTTCACGCAAAGTATTAGATCAGAGCTAATACAAGGTGGTATCAGTTGTGACAGCTCGATTTGACACTGCCTTAGCTCAGTAGAATGAAAAAAAACGGGAAGAAATTTGGAAATTAATCCCCATTTTTTTGAGAGCACAAAATGTGTATACTGACAAAAAAAAATCAACTATATTATTAGGCAAAGAATTGTTAAAGAAGTAACACTGTTTCACCTAAGGCAGTCAATATGGCGGAATTAGAGCGAGAAGTTGCCAACCGATAACACCTTGTATTATTGCGTCACGGTGTTTAATGAGCTGCTCTAGGATACACCAGGTTAAGATATCTCAAAAAATTGTGTTTCACTAGGATTTTTCTTGCTCTAACTTACTCTACTTTTTGTTTTATGAGCCTGCGCTAAGTGGAACTAGAGCAACTTAGAGCACGATTTCCTGCACCAGCTTTTTTGATGGAGTAACTTAGGGCGCAACTGTTTTGAGTGTTTCATGAGACCTCTGATCTGAGTTGCTGATGTTCAGACTTAGGGGCAACATTTTTTTCTCCAAGGTGAAAAAAATTAATGAAGTAAAGTCAACTATGGTCGTATTACACAGAAAATTGCTTAATTTCGTTCAAATCAAATAACTTCACATAAATGAATTGTTTTCGCGTATTGCATATTTCCCTACATTAGCATTTGTTAATCAATTATAAGCAGAGATGGTCAGCAAACTAGGTCCATTCAATAACTTTTCCAGTAAGTACTTGCAGCGAGAGCGTAAAAGAAAAATAGAGAGTAAAATTGAGAGCAAGAGAAAATTTTCAGAATAAGTTATTGAACGCAAAACTAGCAAAAACTTGCAACTTAAGCCATTTTGACACTTTCTGACGGTTAAGTTTTGGCGCGTAATTTTCTTTTAAATTGGGAATAGTTCCAATCGTCATAAAAATAAAAAAATATACAATAGATTTAAATTTTTCATCCATATTTTCATTTCACCAATTATGTTTCATCAAATCAGCCTCTTAAACAGTTTGTTTACATTTGAATTTGAAACATAACCAAGGCGCATCAATTACAGGTGATAGCGATAGAAGCTATGCTTCTTCTTATGAGCACGCTTGTGTCAAATTATCGTCCGTTTTGCTTTATTTACTTATCCACTTATACATACATATATACGTATATATATATACCCTGCAAACAAATTCTCCCGAAATCTTTAAGAGTGTCGGAAATCTGTTACGATTCTTTTAGAAATCTGTAAAGAAAAACATATGAAGCAGTTGACAAGAACTAGTAAAGAAATTTCTGTACCATTTCTTAAAGAAAATTCTTAAAAAATTGTGAAACCTTTCAGAATTCTATGAAATCCTGGTATGCAGGGTATACATATACATACGAATATGAATAGATAAAGAAGATGTTGATGACACAAGGAGTTCATACCACGATTGAGAGAATACAAAGGTTGCGCCGATCTCGGACCGCTATTCCTCTCTTAACGAATTTGACAGAATCGTTGTTTGCATGACGTCACACTTGTGCAACTTGTTTACGTTTTCCTTGCAACATTTTTTCTTCTTCTTCCATTCTTGCTCACGTTTTGGCATTTCTCTCTCGCAATTGCACCAGTGTGACGTCACACAAAAGTTATTCTCAAAAATCCTCTCTGATCGGCGCAATCTTGTATTCTATCATTCTTGAGTTCATACCAACGGTAAATGTTGTTTTTGTACGATTGCTACAACCTGTAGTTGTTGAATCATGAACATAACCTTACTTTTAGACTCCTGAAAATTCCTGCTAGTAAACTTTTTACTTGCAAGAATTTGCAGCTCTCTCGGGTTGTTACGCTCTCGAATTCGCTCCCTCTTGCAAATATTTTGGGTTATTGAAAACTTGCAAGCACTAGCAACAATTTTTTGATATTGAATGGACCTATTATATGAATCGATTTCGTTTCAACAGAAACGATTGTTTTTGTTTTGGTAAACGCTAAAATTAACGTTACAATGCATTCTTGATTATAAGCTGTCACTGCATCCATCGAAGTCCGATTTTCGTGAAATCTACGAGATCTATCATTGAAAACGAATTGCTACGTCCTTTGCAATTATTTGAAACCTGCCGATTATTTGATATTATATGTACTTACCCTTTATTGATAAACTTACAATAAGATTGGCAATATTATTGATAAATTATATAATTACATAAGCCTAATTGTACACACTTATGTATTTCAAAAACTGGGATTTTTATGCTTTCTATCTTTATGTTTATAAAAATCACTATTTTTTCGGATAACGAGAAATATTATAATTACAATGGTTTATAGCAAAAATGTTCTATGGATGCCACTATCCAATTGCTATGTAGAATTGCTCGGTGATTCCGAAAATCGAGTTAATTTGTTTTTTATATGGATACGTTTTCGAGATATTTTCAATTTACCGTTATTCAGCTTAAAGCAAAAATTGGTTCCGTTTAATTTCGTATACATATCTTACGAACCAATTTAAAAATCTTAATATAAAATACGGCAAATGAAAGCCAATGAAATTCTCCATAAACCGTATATACATCACTTTCCGATAGGGCTTATAGTTTCTGACAAATTAATTAATCATTCCAGCATTTTTTCTTTTTTAATGAAAAAATTAAAAAAATCAAACTTTAACAGAAGAAAAATTTAAAAAATAACAGGTTCTGTGCCGAATTTTTGCATTTCCACTAAAGCCTGTTCTGTAACAAAAAAAATCAAGTTACTGTTGAAGAAAATCGATGGATAAATACGAAATAATGAGTAGTCAAATAAAAATGCGCAAGATTATTTGTATGAAAATTGAGCACGAAAGAATGTTACCTAGGTAACACGCTTTTCTGCTCATATTTCATATAAAAAATCTTTGCGCATTTTCATTTGACCACTCATTATTTCGTACTTATCCATCGATTTTCTTCATCAGTAACTTTATTTTTTGTAACAGAACAGGCTTTAGTACAAATGCAAAAATTTGCCACAGAACCTGTTATTTTTAAAGTTTTTCTGCTGTTAAAGTTTGATTTTTTTTTTCATTTTTTCATTAAAAAATAAAAAGAGCTGTAGCTCGTTTCTGTAACTTTTCTCTACCGGTAGAGAATATATGTCATTCTCTACTACTAATTAGCAGTAGAGAACGGGGCGGCGAATTCATATCTCAATTCGCCTTGGTGGAGAATTGTTACAGAAACGAGCTACTGGAATGATTAATTAATTTGTCAGAAACTATAAGCCCTATCGGAAAGTGATGTATATACGGTTTATGGAGAAATTCCTTGGCTTTCTTCATTTGCCGTATTTTATATTGAGATTTTTATATTGGTTCGTAAGATATACGTAATTAAACGGAGCCAATTTTGGCTTTAAGCTGAATAACGGTAAATTGCAAATATCTCGGAAACGTATCCATAGAAAAAACATTAACCCAAATTTCGGAATCACCGAGCAATTCTACATAGAAATTGGATAGTGGCTTTTGGAGAACAAAAACCAAATTAAAATTTGTGATCCAGCGTAATTTGGCTTCGCCAAATATTAAACGGTAATTTGGACTACTTAAAAAAAATACAGTATCAGTTACTGGTACTTATTGGAAGTCGCACAGAATCCATATCCTTAATAATAATGACATTGCTTTGATTTCTGTACAAGTACTCAATTTTCAACATTTTGTCTTCCCCAATGCATGGATCGTAAAAGCCGGGCAATTCACTCTGGAAAATCGCATTTTTAAGGGAGTTGTGTAATAAATTATTTTATATGTAATTTTAATACCTTAGAAGATCGATACAGTATTAATGTAGCATCCGTTACGAGACACTGTAGTGGTATCGTTACATCTATTGAGGCACTTTCATGAAAGTTGTTATTACCCTCTTCAAATTGTCCATAAGTAGCACGTGTGATTACAAGGCCACCCCTTCTGCCTTCTTCCGAAACAATGCGCTCATATGTATGTTGCATTAGTTCAACTGCAGCATGCGCTTCTTGTCTTTGCCTGTTTAATCGTTGTTCGTTACATCGTTTCGTCTTCTCAATGTCGGCATTTTTTTCCTCTAAACGCATAGGATCCAGTATCGATTTTTTAAATAAGAACCACACTAATATTGGTGTGACTGTAGCGTAAAAAACTGCAGCAGGTACTATTTCCTCGCTCAAGTGTATTGGAAATATATACGATTGATTAGAGCGTACTATTCTAAAAAACAAAATAATATTATCAGTGGTTTATACTATGATGCAAACTATATACATATGTATGATTATTGAGAATGCCCTTACTTGAATTTTAGCATTACTCCCGATGGGACTCCTAGAGAAACAGCAGCAAAAACTGAACTGTATTTCGATACTTTTTTCTCAGCTCCATATTCTGCTAGAAAGCCAAATGTTCCCAACCTGAAATTATGAAATAAAAATCATCGACAATAATGCATATATGTACTTACATGTTAAACTGATTTCATTAGAATTCCATCATTTGGATGGACTATATAAATAATTCATTACAATGCAAAATGAAAAGTGCGTAGTTATTACAAGCGCACAACAACCCTTTTTATAATAGCATAGCAAATAATAAAAACTTACTTCGCTGCCACCTTTAGTTTTAGCTCATTTTCTAACATTTTTCTCGTATATGCTGCGCTCAAGTATATATGTGGAAAACCAATGACAAACGATGTTGTCCATGCATGTTTCTCATTACTGCTATCAATTTGTGTAGTCATTGACGATTGTGCGCTTACATTGAGCGTCAAGGAACCCATGGTGTGTTTATCCAACTGCACCGCCAATGTTGAGAAGACAGCAGGAACGACACGACCCTCACGAAAATTCATCGAAGTTCCTCCGTTTATCGTAAGTACTGAGGAAATTGTTCTTCCTCCTAAACATATTACATAACAAAATTGTGATTTCATGTGCGCGCAAAAAGTAAAATCTACTGAATTATACCTTTGACTCCTAAGAGGGGTCCATTGCCAGCGCCCACATCAATTTCTAGCCAGCCCTTGTTAACTAATCTCCTACCACAGAGAATAAAGTTACCACTTCCATTACCATTAGAAGAATACAGATTTCCGCCCAGAGTTAGGACATCCTTTCGATTGATAGGCGCTTCAATAGATTGAGAAATGCTCATTGACGACACCTCAATGCGGGGAAGCTGCGTCTCATCGTATGGGGTAAATACCTCTGTGGCATTAACGTTAATTGTTATATTGCCACGAGGATTGGTGCGTTGTTGTAGCTTCCGCTCTTCGGCTGCTTGTGCTAATCTTTCATACTCCTCACGGATCTCAGCTGGAGTTTTCGTACGATGTACCAACTCCCAGCCATCGGTTCTTAAACCTTTTTGGCCGACACAATCGTAAATAGCTCGTTTATGAGGGTCCGACAACACCTCATAAGCCCGCTTAGTGCGATTAAACAACTGTCCGGCTTTTTGTTTACTTTCTACGTCCATATGCTTGTCTGGGTGGTAAATGCGGCTGAGTTTCCTATACGCAGCACTTATTTGTTCTCCTGTCGCCTGTAAAATTTTAAATATTCGTCATTGCCGGCGGACAGACCAACCAGCTGATCATAATTGAACATGCATTCACTTACATCTCGCGGTAGATTCAGGAACGTGTAATAGTTCTCATCGAGCTCATTGTCAGAATCTGCGTCAACTGACATTGCGAGCTTTTTATGGTTCAATAATCCTTTATGCGTAGTTACTTTGTTTAGTACGAATTTTGAATATAAGCCAAATTAAATAAAATACAGTTCTATGGCAAATAACCTATAAAAACTTCCTCGTAACAATTACTGTTGTCAATGGGACAACTTCAGTGATCGGACTGTTACCACATTGTGCTAGATCTGCCACTTTTTTGAGCATCTACCACACAACCCTGCAAAAATCGCGACTACCCATGCATGCGTATAAAGAGTACCCCTAAGGACCAAGGAGTACTCCAAAATTAACCACAATTCATATAAAAAATATGGTCTAATTAACATTGCGATGTCCTAGGGCAGGACCATATACTCCATCCCTGCATTACACAGAGTAGAACAAAACTACTACAACATATTAACAATGGCATTGTTGTTATACTTTTTTATTGTACACGCTTTTGTTCTTCACTTCTCAAATGCTTTTTCGAAGTTAATAAAAACCAAGACAAAAATTAAAAATTACATGTTGCCTCTGACGGCATTCGAACCCGAACATGCTGGGAGGTCAGAACTAACAGCGAGCATCTCTACACGTTCAGCTACAGCCAGACATGCAAATGTGCTTTCAAATGCTCAACTTCAATCACGTTTCGTTAAAACACGAGCAGTGATCGGATAACAAACAATAAGCTGGCGCAGAGACACGAGTTGGTCCGCTACAGCATGACAGAGGGACACTTTTGCAAGTACTCCAATTTACCACAAATAGACTACATGGTCCAACGATTTTTGAGGTGAAGGTCTGAAATCTACCACATATTTGGCTTTTGAGTAGTTTTATTTTGCTCAGCATGATAATCTTAATTTTAAGAGAAAAATTTGTCCAACACTAAACACTTGAAACATGCAGAATGGGAGGATAAAACCCTGCAAAAATCGCGACTACTCCATGCATGCGTGTAAAGAGTACTCCCTAAGGACCAAGAAGTACTCCAAAATTAACCACAATTCATACAA